CAGCACATGCTGCGCGGCGATGCTCCGGGGCGCGGCATGGCCTCCGCGCGGCCGCCGGGCAGGGCCTGTGCCTCGGCGTCCGCGCCCGCGGGGCTCCGGGCTGGGCCGGCCGCCTCCCGGGAGCCCGCGGACGGCTGCGAAGCGGAGGAGCGCTCGTTGCAGCACATGCTGCGCGCCATAGCCGAGGAGCGCGGACGCCTTAGCCTGCGCCGTGAGGTCTGCGGCCTGGGTGAGTGACGGAGTCGGGCGCGCGCGTGTGTGTCCGCGCGTGTCCACCTCCGCTCGTCCCCCTGTGCTCCCTACCCTTCGTGCATCCCCATCGCCCTGGGTTCTGTCTCTCGGGACTCTAAGACTCAATGTCTTTTCAATACCGCAGAACCTTGATCCTTGTGTCTCCGCGACTCTGTCTCTCTGTCTCCCTCTGACCGTCAGGATATCAGGTTCCAGCTCCTTCTTCCTCTTCGTGGTTCTGTAACTCTTCTTCCTTTTGGAAGATCTGGGGTCCTCACTGTTGCTGCAGGGAGTGTGGGCGTGAGATTTCGGGAGGCCTTTGAGTTCAGAGTTCAAGGCACTGTGCCCTGTCCACATCCCCAGCCCACATGGAGGACCGAGTCTCTGATTGCTGTAGCCTTTGTCTTTCTGCACCCAAAGGTCCTCTTGTTCATTAGCTCAACCAGGGACCTGTTGGGCCTCTGCCCCTTGACCTCACACCTACTTAGCACTGGAATCAGGGATTGCTATAGCCTCTCCGGGTGTGATTCTGGTCTAAGGAGTCATTTATCTGCTGGGTAGGGTGGGGGTGTCTCATTGTTTAAAGGGCTTGGGAGGTGTGGGTGGGGTCGTCTTGGATGTGAGGTAATGCATTACTGATGCACTTGCCCAGACCCATGTGGCAGAAGCCCCCTCCCCTATAGTCTTGGGCTTGTCATTTTCTCTATAAAAAAAAAGACCCCTCCCTTCTTCATGTAAGGAATGACTTCATTCTGTGCTGTCGTGTCCCCTCACCCCCACCTCCCAGTCAGGGCTTGAGTTCTCTTTGGAGGAAGTAAGAGTCTTCTAGATTCAGTCAGTTCTCCAAAGTGGAAGTGCACCCTGGTAAAGCCACAGTAGCAGAGACAGGGTAATGCCTGGAACTCAGGGTTCCTTGGTAGGCCACGCCCTGGAGGCTCGCTCAGGAGAAGAAGTGAATTTCAATTCTTTTTTTTTTTTTTTTTGAAGGAGACTTGCTCAGCACCTGGCCTTCTTAGGCAGCATGGTCTAGCCCAGGTCACCTCAGTGAAGTTCTCTTGTCAGGCAGGTCCAGCCACCTGGGGGAATAGATAAGGACACAGATTTTAGTGGTTTCTTCTCCAAAAAGGTGTCCAGAGAATGGTTTGTAGCTGATTTAGAGTATCCTTATTAATGGGCTCAGTAAACATGCATTTGAGCACCTACTGGGTGCCCACCTGTCAGGGCCAGCTGTCACCTGGCACAGAATGTCAGAATTGGGGAGGGTCTGGGCAACCATCTGTTGCAAACCCCTCAGCCCTGTGACCTCAGCAGCTCCAGGTAGCCCCTTCACACTCCCCTCTGCACACACCTCTGCTGTCCTTGACCTGAAAGCATCATCACCCCTGTTAGAATATAGCCTCTACTCCTAGACAGCCTGCAGGGTCTTTCCCTAAGAGCGATCCATCATCCCGAGTTCCTAGCCTTACCTAGGACTCACTACATGCCAGGCGCTCTGCACGTGCTCTGTCAGTTCAACCCTAACACAGTACCACTTTTGCCAAGCAGGAATATAATCTGTCAGCCATGAAGGAGCCCTGTTCAGAGGCACCCAATGAGGAAGTGGCATAGCTGGCTAACCGCTGGCTCGTATGACCCCAGAACTTCGCCACATCCCCAGCCAGGCTGTCTCTGCCTGTTAGCTCATACAGTGACCAGGTCATCGCTTCTCCTAGTCTTCAGTGCCCCCTTATACGCCAGGCCTCCTCCATTACCTAGTTCTAGACGCTCGTGTTCTGATGTTCTGGATGGCAGTGCGTGCTGGCGTTTCCTCTGCATGGGAAGCTGCTCCTACTCACTTGCTCCTCGGACACTGCAAGTTCTCCTTTTGAGTCTCAGCTCCTAGCTATAGCCTGGAACCCATCCTTCACACCCGTCACATAGCCCTGTCTCCTCTGTCCTAGACAGTTGGCGCAGCTGTGGCATTGTAATGAGCCGGGTGGCTGTCCCTTCAGCTAGCCATCACAGTCCACGAGGGCATTGCCTAGTCCTCCTGTTGGTGCCTACCACGGGGACACATGCAGAGCATGTGCTTGGTAAACATATAGGGAACAAATGAAGCATTTCCCCCGCATGTGGACGGTGTGGATGGCCAAGGTGATGGAGCCTTTGCCTCGTAGAAGAGCCTGGAGGTTCAGGCCTGACAGGGACTTGGCTTGGGGTCCTGATTAGTTTCTTTTCGGGCTGCTGTGATAAACTACCTAACAAAAGCTACGTAGGGAAGGAAGGGTTTGTTTTGGCTCAAAATTCAAGGACAGAGTTCATCATGGTAGCTGATGCTTGAGGCCACTGGTCACATGGCATCTGCACTAGGAGACACACACACACACACACACACACACACACACACACACACGCTGGCACTTAGCTCATGTCATGTTCTTTCTATTCAGTCCAGAACCCCACTCCTTGGGATGGCACCGCCCGTATTCAGGGCAGGTCTCCCCACGTGGGTTAACCCAATCTAGATAATCCTTCAAAGTCTTGCCCAGAGGCTTGTTTCTTAAGTGATTCTAGATCCTGTCGAGCTGATGGTGGCTATTATCTGTGACAGGCCTAATGGCTGGCTCACACACCCAGAACATAGGAACTCAGCAGACCCTGGTCAGATTGCTCTACACCTGGCATGTCGTCAGTCACCCTCTCAGCCTGTGGGACAGCATTACATTTTTGTTTGTTTTTGGTCTTGTGTTTCTGTTTTGTCCTCTAGATTCCATCTTGTCATGCTCACTTCCCAGCTGTGACAACCTGTTGGGTGTTTGAATAAATGTATTAGTATTGAGGCTCGAACCTAGAGCCTCATGTGTGCTAAGTACTTGCTTTATCTTATCACTGAATGACATCCACCGTCCATTATGAGTTTAGGTGTTTGAGTAAAACTGGTTACTCAGAGCTATGCTGCGGCCTCAAGGCTGTTGTTTTTCCTCCAGAGGTAGTTCTGAAGGTGTCCAGGGAGCCTGGGAAAGCTGGCCTGACTGAATCAGTGTCTGTTTATGATGGGATGAAGCTGCTGGCTCCACCCACATAAGGATGGTCACTTGGCCGCGGGGATGAAAGGTGCTTTGTAGCTCCACACCTGATTTCTTACTCACTTCCACAATGGCCTCTATAGTAGAAATGTTTTTTTGAGTGCTGACTGAGTGCCAGGTCTTGAAGCTGGTCCTTACTTCATTGCAGGACAAGGTCTCTGAGGCTCCGGAGAGGGGTATACAGGTAATTTTGCTAGGTTAAGTAAAACCCTTCTGGAAGCAGCCAAGCTTGTGGCTGGGCATGCAAGATTTCCACAGGAAACTGCTTATGTCTCTGCAGTTCCCATGGAGTTCTGGTCACCCTGACCCGGGTGAGTCAGAGGGTTCAGTGTCCTTGCATATGATGCAGCCGTCTGGAAGCACATTGCTTCTCCTAGGAGTGGGGCTTCTCCTAAGCCCTGGATGGTAGCATAGGCAGGTCCCTTCTTAAGTAGGCAGTGTGCTTTATCAGCCAGTGTGAGTTTGCAGGGAATCACGTCTTGCTGCTTGCCTTTGTCTCTGTCTTAGCTGAGTGTCTTTGGAGGCCTCTTGGCTGGGTGTTAGACTCGCTGCATGGTAGATGGTGGTGGGGGTGCTCCCTGTTCATGGTGCTGCGGGTCAGGAGAAATGCTTTGTGCTTGTCTCTTCTGTTTATCCTAAGTGTGCCTAAGAGGTGGGTCTCATGCCACTGTCTGGAACCCAGGTCTGGAGGGGTAGTATTGTGCCCTCAACCGCAAGGGTAGAAACTGGCAGGATGCATCCGAGTTTAGGTTCTGCACAGAGCAGAGGGCCGCCCAGACCCATCCTTAGAATGCTGGCAGCTCAGCCAGGTTGGCACACATAGTTGCTTGGCTGAGGTGGACCCAGGAAAGGATCATAGACAAGAGCTAGCTAGAGTCGTTGGGCTGCCCGGGGGAGGCGTCTGTGAATTGTATTGGTCTCTGGGCAGACCTGAGGCTGGGAGGGGCTGGTGGGAGGGGCAGATGCTGGGAAGTTTAGAGGGGGCTGTGAGAGTTGAGGTGGAACAGCGGTTTGGGTTGAGTGTCTGAGAATTTGGTACTTCCTAAGACTGGCTTCTGGGAGTTGTGTGGGCGTGGCTTTGGGCTCAGGCAGGTGCTACCTCACAGAACTCTGCGCACAGAGTGCCATAGGTCAGATGCCTTTGCAACTGTAGCACTTGCTGTAGCAGCTCCTGTGTGGGAGGCTCTGCCATCACCCTGCTTCACAAGGTGGAAGTTGTACTTCAGAGAGATGGGCTCTCTTGAGGTCACAAACCTGGGAGACCTGGCCAACTCCAGCTGAGGCCATGGAGAGGCAACCTGGAGAAGGTTCAAGAAAGATGAAGGAGGGAAGGACCACTGCCTGTAGTGAGCCCATGTCTGACTGTGTGGCAGGTTCCTGGAACTGCTTTTTGAATTGGGATGAGCCTCCTGCACCCCTAGCTGACCTTGAGGCATTTTTCTAGGTAGCTATAGCTGGAAAGATGTCATTGCTGGGGATTCTGTGGGAGGTAATGGCTGGAGGGAGGACCATGGGGACCCTGACCATGCACCTCCTCTATGTTCTGACTGTAAAAAAAAAAGGAGACATAGGGATTACATAGAAAAGCAGCAGGTAGGAGATGAGCCATGGTGTGCACGGGCTCGGCGTACGCTCATGTGGAGCCACTGCAGGCTGAGCCTGTGAGTGTCTGTTGGGACATCTGCCCATAGGGTTTATTTTAGGATCTGGAGATAGAGTTGATAAGAAAGGAAAAGTGATCCCAAGAGTTGGAGGGGGCTAGTGAGCTGAGGGAAAAGCCTCTACAGTGACGGCTTCGTATGCTGAAGTTCAGACTGGCGCGCAGTCACTGGGAAAAGTCTCTCTTGGAATGACAGTAACCCGTAACCCCAGTGGCAGTTAGCTGGTTGTGGGCCAGCGTGATGGGAGGAAGTGTCCCTGTGCAGTGGTGGCA